AACTCGTGTGGATGATGCCTACTTTCTTTTCTGCATTTCCTGAGTTCTAAAAATAACATTTTGTATGTGGTTAGCCTCAAAGATTTTGATATCTGGAGTGTCTTGGCAATGTACTGTATTTAATGCTGCTTTGTGAAATGGATGACATTAAGTTAAAAGAATAGTGTCTTGAAAATGCTTTGGATACTGCTTAGGTGATGACTGAGCCTTGGCAGGGGCTGCCTGATCAAGAAATCTGCTGAAGTGCCTTATTTAAGAGCAGTGTAATGGAGTGAGGAGTTAGGATTTAATGCAAGGGAAATGTACAGTGTGGGTGGGTCATACAGATGCATTTTGGTAAAAAGATGAAAAAGGTTTCTGCAGTCACAAATACTAAAATTGCTTTGGTGGTACTTGACTGTTAGGAGGCAGGAGAGATGTTAAATCTGATCTAAATCAGTGCTCAGTTTTTTTTCCCCAGATGAAAATGACTACTTATGAAAGGTTAGAGGATTTATGGGGGTGTCAAAACATATGGCAGATGGGCTGGATTAGGACTCATGAGTATAGTAATCCAAATCCTTTCTGCCAAGCATTACAGAGGATCTCTTCCTGCTGCTGGGCTACACTAAATGTACACAGTCAGAGGAGAACAGGCTATCAGGAGGCTTAGAGGAAGAGTTGCTAGTGAAAGTGCTTGTCTGAGCAGCGTTCATTTTGAAAGCCCTTTATTTGAAGGAAAAAGTCTACTGGGGAACTGTTACATTATTTAGCTTTAGTAAATTGCTGTAACCATTCTTCTTTTTCCTTTGGTTTGTTATACAAAGCCTGGAAGAAAGCAAACCCAAAATGTGAACTAAACTTTTCTAAGTATCTCAGGCTGTATTACTACAGAGAGATAAAAGCTGTGCAAAAGTCATGAATGTTGAGAGAGGGGAAGAAAGGGGAAAAAAACCCATCCTACTTCAAATGTTTGAGACAGAATTTTAAGCATTAGGCCCAGTTTTAGTCTTGGTTTTAGACTGAGTTCAGAGGATCTCTTCTGAAATATGAAAATTCACAATGGCATGTCAGTGTTACATAGGTTATCAGTAGCTGCAGTTAACGGGTAGTTAATTTTAAGATGATGTGAAGCTACTGGCTTTTGAGGAGATCTATGTCTAAAGTTGTTTCTGGGGAAGGATGCAAGTCATTTGTGTCTGAGGCAACAAGAGGATATTTGCACTCCATCCCTTTAGTCAGTTATTTAAGCTAAAGAATCCACCAGAGCTCTTTTGTTAGTTAACTACTGTTAACTAGTTTACAGCATGATAAATCCATATGCTGGTGTAGAAAACCACCTACATCCATGAGTGGATGCTTAGATACGTCATTTGACACTGGTGTAATTTTACCCTACTGATGATGTGTTGCTGCAATAGTAATCCTGCTCAGTACGAGAGGAACTGCAGGTTCAGACCCCTGGTGCGTGTGCTTGGCTGAGGAGCCACTGGCGTGAGGCTACCATCTACGGGCTTATGACCGAATGCCTCTGAGTATCCCGCCTAGACGCTTGTTGTGCTACTGTGTCATCAGTCACTTGTGATTGACCCAGGAGATGACAGTCTTGTTCAGAATGCGTGGGTGAAGGTCTTCCCGAATCTTCGTTAGCGAAGACAAGCCTTCCTCATAGGAGAAGGAAAACTCCTACCTTCAAACATGGGCAGATGGAGCTCATCTAGCCTTGTGTGGTCTTCCATCTAAGAGAAGGACACTCTTACAAAACCTACGACCTGAGGACTTTGCTGTCACCGTCCTAGCTCGCTAGGCCGTGGCAGTTAAACCTCAGGTGTAAAGCATGGGGCCAGTTCTGCGCATGCTGCTCCTCACCTGAAAAATCCAGTGCACAGGCTGGAAGGGCTCACTCTCACTTGTCTGTATGAACAGGCAAGGGTCGAAACAGTAGGTAACAAGGTGCATGGGTAGCTGCAGATCCAACCTTGCATGCGGGCAGACCAGCGCATGGGTAGCTCAAGATCGCTCAGGAGATGACAGTCCTGGTCAGCCACTTCCTGATTGCCTAAACACCCTTCTTTTCAACCAGATTTTCATATCCCACTTGCCCTTGGTCTTCGTGCTTGTAGTAAGCGTGGTTAAAGCCCTTCCCAAATCTTCACTCACGAAGCCAAGCCATCAAAATAAATAAAAAAAAAAAAAACCAACAAACCAACAAAACCATACCCAAAAAAACTAAAATCATAAAAATGTTTTGTTAAAGCATGAAATGCAATACTGCATATTGTTAAGTTGTGCTCTTTGTAGAGCCAAAGAAGTGTAATGATCTAGACCTTACTGATCTTAAATTTAAGCTTAAAAGGGAGGCTGCAATTAGTTGCACCAGCCGTGAGGACGGATTAGCGCTGAGATTGTTTGCATTTCTAGGGCGGGGAGCAAAAGGCAAACTTTTCATTGTTATTGTTTTGTGATGTACAAAAAAGATCTGAAAGCTTTTAGCAGGTTTCGCTATTATCCTTGAGGAATAGCATATTTGCTCTAGTATGGTCTTGTCAAAGAACTTTGTACTGTGAACTTTCTCAGCATTTAATTGAAAAGTTAAACCTTTTGGAAAGAGAGAATTTTTTCTATTGTTAAGTAAGTATTAACAAAATAACAGCAATCAAAACAATCCGTGAAAGCTCACTTCTTATCTGTTGATAATCATATTTTTCTTGTTAGTATTCAGGATGTCATAATCTTTCAAGTGGTGTATAGCCTTCCATCAAAGACCTGCTCTGAATTTCTAATTAAAACAAACAAACGCACAAACCCATCTTCCACTTCCCAGCCTCTTTCTGCATAAACAGTCTCCTCTTAAGAGACTGTAGAAGGGTCTATAAAAAGAGCGAAAAAGGTCACATTTAACATTTGTCAGTTGTTTATGTGCATGTTTGAAGGAAACGAGTTTGAAAATAATTGTGCCAGAGGGGTGGGCAGAAAAATTTCCACATAGCAAAATCTGCTAGGAATGAAAGGACAAGTTGAACCAGGAACAGAGGTTTTACTGGGAACGTGTGCATGTAATTCCATAAACTCTGAATAATCTTTTTGTTTCAAATATAAACTTAATTGGGATTTTAAGTGATAACCCATTTACACAGTATCAGATCATTAAAAGCATTTAAACTGTCCTGGCAGGTAGGGATGAAAAGTATCTGAGATGAGTTGTCAAGTATTATCCAGCTTACAAATAAAAATAAGTTGTTACAATAGGCTTTCCAGGGAATACATTCATTATAAATTGTAGATGTGGGTTTTGACTGATTTATTACCAGAAAATAGTTAATTTTTCAGGATATAGAAATATACGAAAGCTAATAAATCAAACCAGAATTAATATGGTAAATGAAATATGTGGACTTAGGCCTTTTTAGATGGCTCTGATACAAGTACATAAATATTCTTGTTATAAATTTCTTTGTTCCCTACTAATGCCTCCATTGAATTCTTCCATATTGCATCAAAATTGAATTAATTAGTCTAACTGATTAAGTATTTTAAACTTCACAAAGAGAAACTGTACAGAAATTTCTTCATGAGATAAATAGATAAATTATGATTAGACCACATCTTGTTACTGGAACATCAGTAGCCTGATGGTAGGAAACTATTAGTAATTGACCTAAAATGGAGAAGCACTAGCATCTCCATTTCATATCCAGGGAGAGTGTCCCTACAAAGGAGAAAATAAACTGAAAGAAATAAGATAATTCCAGTGTGAAGTCCTGCTTCTGAATGATTGAGGAAACATGAATAACCATCCCATGAATGCGTAGTGTGACATGGAAGAAACAGACCTAATAAAAGGAAAAACGTTTGACAAATGATTCTTTGTAATAATGGGGAGAAAGATTATCAAAATGCTTATGTTGTATCTGGCACTATTTGGCAAAGAGTTTTGTTACAAAAGGCATCTAAGAAATTAAAATACAAAAATGCACGTATTTTAGCATTTACAGATTCTTCTGCAAAGAGAGAGTAATTCAAAACAGCTTTCTTTTAGGGTGCCCATGTAATTGAGAGCAGAACTTAGGCTCATCAGTCATAGAAATAGGTGAGAAAATCTTGCTTCCTGATTCTCATTTAGGCAGAAGTGGTATGTTTCTGAAAGCATTTGAATAAGTAAGTGCTTTCGGATGCAGCAGGGGGGAACCTAACAAGCAGTTCCAGATGGCAAATGTTGAGTTATTCCATAAATAAGGGGAGGTTCTTCAAGTTGCTAGCATGATGACATGGGGAGGTGGAGGCAGCTGCATGCTTCACAAAATGTTATTTAGATAGGTATGAAGTTGTGAAAGGTTTTAGAGCGCTTATTTGGTATGGTGTGCTTGAAGAAAAAAAAAACAACAAACATATTGTTTGGCTGTGAGATGCAAAATTAAGTGGGGCTTTCAATAGGAGGCAGATCTGAATGCTCCAAATGATCACTGTAGTTAGTAAGTAGGAGCTGGAAGACCTAAGCATGGAATCTGTTTTCGTCTCTTGCAGTCTTGGAAAGTTACTTAGTTTTCAGATAGAATACGTTAGGATGCACTTTATGTAGAGAAAATGGAACTGGAACTTTAAATCTAGTTAAGACAAACTGGCGTTTTGGTCACAGTCAGGAACAAAGAACGGATTTGGGAGTTTTTGCTGCAGTCATCGTAATATTCCATAAATTCCTCTAAAATAAAGATTTTTCAAAGGGTTGCACAACTAAATCTTAAGCAAGGACTGAGAGCCCTAAGATCTCCAAAGGCTTGACTGATACAGGCTTGACAGAGCTTAAGTGAAAAGGCTTGTTCATTGGTCTGTGGTCAACAGCATACCCCAATATTTTGTTATTCAAATGTCAAGTGACTGAGATCTATAGTGCTTGTTTCCATTAAAAAAAAATAAAAAAGTTGTATTCTACATTTCTCAGTTCCTTTTGTTCAGAATTTACAGAATTCAACACCTGCTGTTGATTTATGTTGATGATTATATTTGTTTTTTTTGTTCCCCAGAGAAAGAATTTGACCCTCTTCAGCATTGGTTTATTGACCTCGTGGGGCACTGCACTGCTGGGTGTCCGCTTATACTGGATGGGCAACAAGCCCCCAAGTTTTTCCAATTCTGACAATCCAGCAGCTGACTCGGACAGTTTTCTCACACGTACGCTGACCTTCTTTTACCTGCCAACAAAGAACCTCTGGCTGTTGCTATGTCCAGATACCCTCAGCTTTGACTGGTCTATGGATGCTGTGCCTCTTCTGAAAGCAGTCAGCGACTGGAGGAATCTACACGCTGTGGCCTTCTATGCTGGACTTCTCCTCCTTGCCTACTTTAGCTTGAAGGGTTCCAGCAATGAGAGAGAATGCAATGGGAAAACTGTAATGAACGGCAAGCAGAATGCTAATGGGCATAGCTGCCACTCAGACATAGAGTACAAGACACTGGAGGTGAAGTCAAGCTTTGCATCAAAACAAGAGAATGGTGTAAAAAAGCTCGAAATGCAGAAACTGCCACTTCCTTCAACTGAGAACATTGTCATTCTGTCTCTGTCTTTGTTAATAGTGCCCTTTGTTCCTGCCACAAACCTATTTTTCTACGTTGGCTTTGTAATAGCAGAGCGTGTGCTGTATGTTCCTAGTATGGGCTTCTGCCTGCTGGTTACAGTAGGTGTCAGGGCCCTTTATGTCAAAGCCCAAAAGCGTTTTCTGAAGAACTTGGTTTTTTGTTCCACTGCTGCATTAATTGTTTTCTATGGACTCAAGACTGTTGTCAGGAATGGGGACTGGCAGAATGAGGAGATGCTGTATAGGTCAGGGATAAAAGTAAACCCTGCTAAAGGTAAATTCTGCTTTTTATGGTCAATGCTTTATTTATTCCTGTCTTTGCCTTTGAATTGTCTGAATTTATCAGCTATATCTAAAGAGGATATGCTAGGAAATGTCCTTTTAAGTTGCAGTAGTACATACATTAGTAAAAAATGAAAAAAAGCAGGAGTATGTTTTGATAGGGTGTTACAGGTTTTGCGTTAACGTGGAGAAAATGAGACCCTAAGGTAAGACGATACTTTCTTTTTCATTATCTTAGTTCTGTGTTTTGGAATTAAAGATGCATTATTAGTATTAAAGATCCTACCCACCGTGCTAATTTTCCATCTGGAATCTGGTACCTATCATGCTGATGAAGTTTTTTCATATGTTCACCGAATGTTCTGTTCTCTATGACTAGGAAATATATAAAATAGTAAAGGACACCATCAGTGAGCTTGTGTTTTTTTTTTTTATTTCATATGATGCAAATAACGTCAATACTACATGATAAAAATGAGGAAATGAGGTCATATTATTCACCCTAGGAAATTACTGTATTTCTTCCTGCATGCAGGTACTGTAAAGAGTTACTGTCAAATACTTAGGCCTTCCTGTTAATGTATAAATGTCAGCTATTTGTTTCCCAGCTACTTCTCTTGGTTGTATCTATACCATAATGAAATAGAGCTACAGCTAGTGTAAGCACTTCCAAACACACAGTAAACCCTCTAGTTCAGGCATCAGCAACAATGTTTAGCTGTGGTTTCAGCATATATGGCAGATCCAGCTGGGATCCTGAACTACATGCTGCCTGTACTGCTCTTGGCACACAAACAGGTTTATATGAGAATGGTTAAAATACCACCTGTGAGTGCTGTGTAGGCATTGACTAAGCTTTCATTATTCACAATTCATAAGAAGTGAGAAGGGATCACTTGATTGCTTTGTCTGTCTGTGAAAGAAAAATCTGACCGCCTTTGATCATGTTGCACTTGAGTTTTTCAAGTTCTGTGCTCAGAAGCCCAGAAGTGCAAAGTCATCCACTGACAGAGGTGTGTTTCTTGGTTAGACAGTTATATCATGCCATAGTCTAAAAGCTGTGTTACTATGAGGCAAATGCAGGTGTTACCTAAAGCTGATAGAGAGTGAAAAACTAGATTTGACAGATAAGATGCCTTGCAAAGCAGCATTATAGTGGCTTGTCAATTGTCAGTCTGCTTTTGTAACTCTTCTTCATATACTTTGTCTCCCTAGGTAAAATTATTAAACTTGTTGCTGCAGTGACTTTTTGTTAACTGTGAACAAGCCCATCCCATTTCTTTTACTTTTTTCAAAACTAGTGCAGGAGGGCAAGAAGTGAAGTAAGTGAACAGCAAGACAGCGCACCAGAGTGGTGATATGATGCTGTGAGACTTACCAGTTTAGTGACATTGTAAAGCTTGCATTAAAACGCTGTCTTTCTTTAGAAAGAAAAGAGTGTGTGCACATTTGATTAAATAGTTAAGTATGTTCCATTTTTGGTGGGGATCCCAAGATATCGCAGACTGTATTGATAGTTTTCTGCTTGCTTTAATCCAGTTTTTGTGATTAAAAAAATAAAATTCTAGGTTTTGTCCAATAGTAGGTTTGGCTGTGATGTTGTCTGGAAATTAAACTGCTGGGTACTATGCTCCCCGGAGACAAGGCGAGCTATTTTCGTCATACACATCTCAGTATGCGCAGACTTATGTATATATGATTGCCTGGTTTCTCACCATATAAGCTGACATTAAGTTTCTTGTAAGATACGCAAAAGCAAAGACAGCATGTCAGTGTGGTGATATAGACATGACTGAGCTGGCTGTAAATCTCCTTAAAATATCCTGTTGAAGTTCTGCTGAATATTTACTAGCCCACACACGTTGTAACAAGGCTGGGTACCAGAAACTCCCAGCTAAAGTGACCTGTCACCTAGCTCTATTCATTATTGTGAATACTTTCAAGATTATCCCTGGCTTTGACTATGCTAATTTTATTTTCTATTTCTTATACGATCAGGCAAGCCTGACTGGTCTGGACTGGCTGCCAATCCACCGAGGCATTAGGAGATGAACAATTCAAACTACTCTTCAGTAATTAAATGAGGTTGACGTAGGAAAAACAATTTATTTTTGTTTGCCTCTTTTTTTTTTTTTTTTTTAGTTTTATGAATGCTAGTGATAAATAGGCTATTCAAACAGTGAGACAATGGACTGCTTAGACAGCAGAGAGAAAGTGTTTTCCTTCCTTCTAGTCTGCTAAGAAGAAGCTGCCACTCCTCATTTCTCTTTTTCTCAACTTGCAGCCCTTTCTCCTCATGAGTATTTTCTTACTTCTGATCATTTTTGAGTGGTGGGATCATTTTCCGTAACACTTTTCCTTTCTTCTTCTGCAAAGAGCTTCTGAACAAGAGCTGCTTTAGTCCTCGGCTAAAAAGCAAAGAGGGAATCTCTTCAAAAATTCCCCATATGCGGACCAATAAAGAAGTGGATATCTGTGAGGACCAGCTTTGCTAAAGCAAGGAGCTGAGTGTTTTGTTCCAGATCCATCTGTATTCTGGCCTAGCAGGATGAAAGCCGCTCTGTGGCTGGATGCTGTGTGATAACATTGAGCTGATGTGTTGTACTAATAAGGTCATTTGAGAGGCAAGCTATTAGCACAGGTGCATTTATGAACTAATGTGGCTGAACTGCTTTGGAAATGGAGTTGTCTCACATGGTGATGGTTTATAATCAGGTCCTCTGTGCTGTAGTAGGTGTATGAATATAATCTTTTCTGCTGCTATGGGACTTTCAGGCAGATTTGTTCAGAGGCTTCTTCGTCTTCAATCCTCAGTGAAGATATGGGCAATAAGTACCTTGCCAGCTCTTTCTTCTGGCTCCCTCAAGAAGAAGAAAGGCAGAGAAATAGTGTTTTGCCTCAAGTGAGAAAGCCCCTAACCCCATAGGCAATCACAGCCTTTCTGCAATTTACATTTCTACAGGCTGCTCTTGTCAATCACTGAAATGTGGAAAAAATACTCAAAAGCATAATGCATGGCTCACCTTTCTCAAAATGCCAAAATACACTGCAGGAGAGTCAAGTGAGAAAGAAGGTGGTGATGCCACCTCTGAGCCACTGTGCACATGCCAGCTTTCATATCTGGCTTTCTGTGTGGCAGGAAGATAATGGCCCTTGCCTGGTGGAGTCATAGTGAGGACCTAGGATGCCTTGACTCCATCTCTTTCTGGGCTTGTTCTGGTCTTTTGGTTATGACTAGTATTTCAGATATCTTTAAAGTGATCTGAGCATTGCCTTTTTACAGTCTGTCAGCACTTGAAGGAAAAATAGGCAAGATTGATTAACGTAGTTTATGGATCCTGAAGTGGCCATGTACATGTTTTGACACTAGGGAGGGAAAGGCACAAGAATTTCTCTGTGCTGCCTTCAACTTAATGAGCAGCCCACTGATATAAACCAGCTCCCATTATTTGATTGTTCTTCTATAGTGAAGAAAGCCTCCCAAAATGTAAACAAAGAAGTTATAAATTGGTGGTAGCTGTCTTGTCTTTTTCAGTTAGACTGAGAGTCATTCTGTGGTGATGATTACCTCATGTTTATTATAAAATCACAATGACGCACAAAATAATTGTTCTTATTATGCCTTTTTGTCTCTAATTTTCTCTGTATTACCAAAAGCAGGCTTCAAAAAGCCTTATCTTTTCCTCCAGGCCATTTTGTACCTTGCAGTCAACATCTGAACATCAAAGATATTCATTATGATGTATTATGATATATATTATGTTGTACTGTTAGAGACACTAATTAAAGAAGTAGAATGTAAGAGAGCAAGGCATAGATTGTTGGAGTGCTGCAGAGCCATTAGTTGCTTGATCATAATTTTAGTCTCCTGGTGGTTGCCGTGACATTTGTAAGTAAGCTTTGAAGATCCTTCCTGGAAATACCACACCACACCAAGTAGTTGCTTATTTTTAACCGTGCATTCAAATCCTGCTGAGTTTATATATGTGGCTTTTGCAATGGATTGTACAGCAAGAAACAGATACTAGGCTGGTTCCAAAAGCAGTATTGCTACATTATTGTGGCACTGCACCTAGTCTGGTAAGGCCTGTCTCACATGTGGCACTGACTTAAGTTGGCCTTGCAGCTTGTGGCTTCAAAATCAGTTCTGCATGTTGCTTGGGTGTTTGTCCTTGTTCCATCACAAATTAGTATTAATGAGATGTCATATGTTCATATCTTGGACAGGTCAGTAGGACTGGAATATGTGCTTCAGATCTTTCCTGAAGTTAAAAATCCTATTCTTAGTGTCTTGTTTCATATCTCAATTACCATGTTGTTCTCAGTGGGCAGCAATAAGACCAAGACATGGTGTTGACAGAGAAGAATATGTAAGTTGTTCCATATGAATATTGAAAGTTGCTTTCCTTCTATCTTTCCACCCTTGCTCCTATTGCCAGGTTCCCTTGGGTGTGAATAATTCAATTTTGCTTAATATTTTTAGAATATATTCTAACACTGAAATACTCTTCTGGACCACAATGTTGCTTTTCCCTGTTCACATCGGGGTTTTTTTTAGCTTTGCAGCAGGGTTGTAAGATCTTACTGCATCATTCTGCAATGTTTGTGCCTGTAGAATGTTTAAAGAACAGTCTCCGGGGGGGTTTGGCATCTTTGGCATAGCATTTAGAGTTGATCAATTTTATTCCCTGGAACTTCACGGACAATTACCTTTCTTTTCTTTATTTCTTTCTTTTTTTCCCCCTCTCTGAACTGAAAAAAATACTCTTTTTCAAAAAATATTTTTTAAAACACCAAATTTAATTTTTTTACTTATGTTGAATACTTTGTAGTGTTAATTTCCTCTTTTACCATTACTCTGATGCAGCAAGCAAATGTATTTGCTATACAAATTATTTTAATTATAAACGTAGAGCAAGGGGAAACAATCATGTGAGTTAATATTGTTCCATTTGCATAATTTGTTATTGTTAAAAAAGCACCCAGGTTTGT